TTCAAATTTCAACACGTACCCTTCAATTACACATGAGATCTTCTAACATACGCATAAGGATCACACCACTTCAGAACACTCCGCAGGAGATAACCCACCTGCTTTGCCTCACTATAACATTTCCGTATACCTTCCACCGTCATACACATTACATAGCCACTTAGTCTTCCCGAGTCTGAACTCATACCGCAACATGAAATTTACTTCACCCCCAACTAGGAGACACGAAAAGATTCTTCACGCGCCCATAACTCGGAGCTTCACATCCAATCACAATGGAAATCATAAACTTAATAGTTCATCTATCATCCAGCAGACCTTCCTCGTCACTTCCAAGTTACATAGATACATCTCGCAGTACTAACATACTCATCACATGGCTATCCAGCCGTCACTTCCACTAATAGGGACAATACCGAACATATAAGTTCAAAACAATTACTCACACAATCAGCGCCTCGGTGCTCAAGCCATAGGCAAAGATCCGGCCTCAAGTCCTCCAGACTGGCCCAACATCAACTCACAGAGATCACATCTCGCCCCTCGATCGGGGAATCACAAGCCATCAAGGCATATCTGATACTGAGCGCTCATGCGCGCATACAAATGCGTGGAAGGAATTTCAAGAGTTTCTTTTCAAGCCGAATCAAAGACGCACGATAAGAATTCAAGAATGTGAAGTTTTCCTAAAGGTTCTGCAGCCTCTCGAGGATAAATACAGACGTCTCCGTACCGATCCGCGAGACTCTACTAAACCTGCTCATGACTCGTGAGACCTAGTAACCTAGGCTCTGATACCAACTTGTCATAGCCCAAATCCCAAACCCGGCCGTGATGGCGCCTCTCGTGAACACAAGGCCGCCAGACCAATATAGAACACCTCTTTTAAGCAGTTATTTACCATTAAGCAATTATGAAGCATGATTTGATAACAATAAATTCGCGGAAACATAGATAATAATAGTAGAACCATCCCAACACAGCCCAAACCGGGGTGTCACAAGTCACGAGCATCTATCAGAAAATAAATCCGCTACAAAGTCTAATATATACAAAACCGGAATAACGAACAAGGAAAAGCAAAATGGTGCTGCGAACGCTGGCAGTCACCTCTTTGACTCGTATAACCCTGCCTCTAATCAGCCAAAACAAGCTACCGGGTGAATAAATACCTGCAAGTGCATGCGAGGTGCATGGAGTAAAGTGAGTACTCCAACTCAGTGAGCAATAAGAGTAAATAACAACTGAGCAGTAAGAAATCACGTAAAGCACACCATCACACTATATGGAAGCAGGGTAAAATCCTTTGAGAAAAACAACGAAGCGGTGAAATCATTAGAAATATTTGGCTCAGTGTAAAACTCTTTGAAAATGATCTTTTCAACGGTTATGAAATGATTTCAAACAGTTAGTGCCGATAAGCACAAAAATCTGCCCCTCGGGCACAAATACCACGGTATGACAGGTAAAAAGACAAGTAAATATACAATTGAGCACATAAAAGTTCGCCCCTCGGGCAATATCTCAAACAGTACCAGCCCCTCGGGCTCACTCTTAGATCACTCTACATAGTATCATATAGCAACCGCTGCGGCGCGCAACCCGATCCACATCTCGCTGCGGTGTGCAACCCGATCCATATCTCGCTGCGGCGTGCAGCCCGATCCGTATCTCGCTGCGGCGTGCAGCCCGATCCGTATCTCGCTGCGGCGTGCAGCCCGATCCGTATGGGTACCCGCGCTCACTGTGGTGGTGCAGACTCCAGAGAGGCCCTTTACGGCCCAAACGCTATATCATCATAAGGCCTGAAAGCCCTCTCACATCACACTCGAGGCCTGAAAGCCTCCTCACATAACACTCGAAGCCTGAAAGCCTCCTCACATATCACTCGAGGCCTGAAAGCCTCCTCATATATCACTCGAGGCCTGAAAGCCTCCTCACATCACGCTCAAGGCCTGAAAGCCTCACTCAGTCCAGAAACATCACAAGCCCCTCGGGCATCAATAAAATAATAGTTCTCAACCCAAACAACAGTGAAATATCATTGAAGTCTCAAAAATTCAATTAAAGCGGCTGAGTTTGCAAAATAGTGTAATCATTAGGACTGAGTTCAAATAACGTATCAAAATAGTGAGAAAACAGTGATAACAATCCCAGAAGGATTCAAATAATCAACATTAAGCCCAAAGCATGGCAATAAGCCCAAGTCATGATAAACAAAATAGCTCAGTCAAATACGCGGTAAAATATCAAACGGGATGGACCAAGTCACAATCCCCAGTAGTAAACAACCCCGCGCTCGCCATTAAGCGCGTGTTTCACCTCAACATAGCACTACGTTGTGCAAATCCGGGGTTTCAAACCCTCAGGATATCATTTACAATCATTACTCACCTCGATCCGGTCCAAACTCTAGCCCGCGATGCCTCGCCCGCACGAATCGACCTCCGGATGCTCCAAATCTAGCCACAATGAGTAGATAATCACTAAAATATGCTAGGGGAGCGAAGCCCACTAGAAAATATCCAATTTAACATCAAAATTCCGAAATTGCTCAAACTCGGCCCCCGGGCCCACGCTTCAGAATTCGACGAAACTCACAAAATCCGACAACCCATTCAACCACGAGTCCAACCATACCAAAATTACTAAATTCCGATAACAATTCAGCCTCCAAATCTTCAAATCTTATTTTCAAATCCCTAGGTCCAAATCCCCAATTTACACCTCAAAAACATGTAATCTAGTCGGATTATTCGATGATAATTCAATATTATTGAGTAGAAATGATCACAAGTGACTTACCTCAAAATTTCCCATGATTTCTTGCTCAAAAATCGCCCCAAGCCGTGTTCTTTCACAAAAAAAACGTCAAAATGAGCAAAAAAATAGAACAACACTAATACACCCGAATCTGGTCGCTAAAAGCCAAAGCTGGTCGCTAAAAGTGCCAAAGCTGGTCGCTAAAAGGTGCACACCAGATCTGATGCACCAGCAATCTTTAATTTCACTAAAAAGGCTCTAACTCCATCATACAAACTCGGAATTCGATGATTCTTGTTCCTATGAGTCACAAATAATAATACAAACATAGCCCTTCAATCGAAACCCAATTCGGAGCTCATTTGCTCAGTGTGATACCCATTTTGCTCGTTAAACAATTAACTCATGTTTCGCGTGAAAAACCCAATCGCGACTTGATGAAATTAAACCAAACTTTCCAGATCACTCCTATAATTCATTGTCAAAATTCCGGAAGTCTCGAAATCAAATTTCGATCTCTAGAACTAAAAATGGATCTTTGGATCATTACATGCTTATGCTCAAAACGGCAAAATCTTCCAAAAACTCCTCCAAAACTTATCCGAGCCTCATGGGACCCCGACCAAACATGCCAACACACCCCATAACATCATTCAAACTTGTTACAACCTTCGGAACGCTCAAAACAACATCAAAACATCGAATCACCCTCGGATTCAAGCCTAAAAATTCCAAAACTTCCTAATTACTCTTTCGATCAAAAACTCGACCAAACGACGTCTGAATGACCTGAAATTTCGCACACACATCACAAATGACATAGCGAAGCTACATCAACTCTCGGAATTCCATTCCGACCCTCGGATCAAAATCTCATCTATCAACCGGAATTCACCAAAATTCTAACTTCGTCAATTCAAGCCTAATTCTACACCGGACCTCCGAAATCACTTCCGATCACACTCCTAAGTCACAAATCATCTAACGAAGCTAACCAAATCATAAAAACTCCGATCCGAGCTCATACACATATAAGTCAACTCTCGGTCAAACCTTTCAAATTCTAAGCTTTCAATTGAAACTATTCTTTCAAATTCATTCCAATTCTTCCTGAAGACCAAAACCAACGATCTACATTAGTCATAATGAATAACACGGGGCAAGTCATGCCCGAGAATTGGCGATCAAGGTGCAAAAGCTCAAAACGACCGGTCAGGTCGTTACAGTAAACCTCACCGGTGAATTTTGTATCTGACACATAAAATAAGTTAAGCGAAAGTCTAAAGGAAATAATCAATAAATTAAATTATCAGTAATTTAATTTGATTGGTTAGTATTTGAATCTTAACATGGGGAGTTAAATAAGGTTTTATGGAAGAGTTTCGAAATCGAACTAAGGATTACAATTACAAATTTTTAGTGGAATAATTCGTAATTTATTATGGTAGAAATTAATTTCAAATTTTGAAATTAATTCCATAATAGGAAGTCTTGTTAATTAACTTCCATGGTCTCTACTGTGCCTAAATAATAGGAAATAAAGGAAGCCTTTTCTTAGTGGAAGAAGAAAACCTAACAGGTTTTGGAAAAGGGTTTTAACCTAAAATACGTGGCTATATATACTCCATATAGGGCTGGGCGTTCTTGACACCGGTTTTACACATTTTCTTCCTTGGAATTTCGCCCACCCGAAATTCTCTCTTTCCGAATATTATTTGAGTAACACGGTAGAAGACTGTGGAGGTTTTGCTGAGTTCGCGATCTTGCAACTCTGGAACTGGAGACCGAGATTAATCTGCTTTGTTCACGCTTCAAGAGGTAACTCGAATAATCTCCGTATGTGCTAATTGTTTAATTCACACGTGAATATGATACTGTAATTGCTTCAGTTGCGATATATAATCCATCAATTGGTATTAGAGCATACTTACGTCTAATTAAATTATTAGGATGAACATGGAAAAGTAGTATCATGTTAATATGCAAGTTTTGAATTACATGCAAAGAATATTTTTCTGTAAAATTGCATTGTTTTTAGCATGAATATTTGTTCTGAGTATTATGATTATTCTGAAAATCATGTAATATCTGCTTATATTTTATGATATTTGATTAGAATAATCTGAAAATTTTGTTAATCCATGAAAAACGCAAAAGTCACTATTTGGCCGAATTGGCCAGAAAATCGGAGGTCAACATGTTGACGGACTCCGATTGACCTGAAACTTGGCAGGTCCATGCGAAACGGCACAGTGAGCAATAATCATCAGCTTTGCTAATGTTGTAAGTCATTTTTCGGGCTTTCAAGGTCGTTTAGATGGTGTTTTGGACGTTTTTTAAATTTCTGGAAATTTTTCAAAAACTTTTTCGAGTTGTTTTTAATCCAGTGGTGGTAGGGATCGTTCCTATGGACTCCAGGGTTAAATTCTGGTGATATAATATTTTTACACGTTGACGTAGGTCTTCTTCCATATCGGATAAACTCATTATAGATAATCACTAAGTTATACTAGTCGTTGATTACTTGTATTTACTCTCCATCTGAGTATGAATGGTGGTTCAATGGGACTAGTATATTGAATGTTGATATTCACTTGACTTTAATTAACAGTTTACTCTCCATCTGAGTATGGCCTGTTTAAACTCATGGAGTGAATAATATATATATATATATATATGTATGTATGTATGTATGTATGTATGTATGTATGTATGTATGTATGTATAGCTCTTTTCCCATCGAAATTTGTTGTTCAAGGTGCATGGATTATATGTATGCAGTGTGTTTTGAATTTTAATATTAAATAATACATGACTGATTTTGATCTATTTATTTAATTATCTCTCAGATTAACAATGACTGCTTTCAATCCCCTTACTATTATTCTTACCGAAACAAACTTGAGAGTCTGAATTATGTTGACTGGAAACAAAACTTGGATATTGTCCTAATTGCTGAACAGTACAAATTTGTGCTTGATGAGGTGTGTCCAGAAAAACCTAGAGATGATGCTACGGATGATGAACAGAAAGCTTACCAAAAATGGGTTAAGGCTGATGAGATGGCGCAGTGTTACATTTCGGAATCTATGTCTGTTCTACAACATCAACATCAGTCTATGGAGTCTGCTTACGACATTCTGGAAAATCTCAAAGAAATGTTTGGAGATCAGAATCGTGCGGCTAAGTAGGCTGCCATGAAAGCTCTTATGAATACCAAAATGGTTGAAGATTCATCTGTTAGGGACCATGTTTTGAAGATGATGAGTCATCTGAATGAACTGGAGGTACTTGGAGCTAACATTGATAAGGATACGCAGGTTGAAATGATCCTGCAGACTCTGCTTGACAGTTTTCAGCAGTTTCGCCTGAATTATAACATGAACAAAATGGATTTGTCACTTGCGAAATTGCTGAATGAGCTGCAGTCGGCAGAGACTATTATCAAGCAACAAGCTCCTCCTGTGGCATTGAATTTTGAGGAAGGTTATTCTTCCAAGCCGAGAGGCGGGCAAAAGAAGAAAAAGGCTCAGAAACCCTCTGTTGGTGGCGCAACTGCTGGTGTGAAAAAGACTAAGGGCAAGTGTTATCACTGCAAGAAGCCTGGGCATCATAAGAAGCAATGTCCGGCTTATCTAGCCAAGCTGAATAATAAACTAGGTGATTTACATCTACTTGTCGTTGAAACTCTTTTAGCGGCTGTTTCTACCATGTCATGGTGTGTAGATTCGGGAGCAACTAATCATGTCTGCATTTATTTGCAGGGGTTTCAGGTAACGCGACGACTAAGTAGAGAAGAAATCAATGTTTATCAAGCAGATGGTTCGGCAACCCTAGCTTTAGCATTAGGAAATATTAGTATTTCATTTGGCAGTGATAGGGTATTAGCTTTAAACGACACATTATATGTACCTTCCGTTAGAAGAAATTTAATTTTGGTTTTTAGCGCTATGAGAGGTGGTTATGACATTAATTTTCATGATATTGATAACCGTGTTATTAGTCATAATAAACGCTATCTCTCTTTGGCTACATTGATGGTCTTTTTATTGTTGACTCTATTCCTAAACCGTTACAACCTAAAGAACTGAATTATATTGATTTACCAAATAAGAGAAAATGTTCTTCTAAATTGAGTGAAACATATATATGACACTTGCGTTTGGGTCATATAAATCTAAATAGAATTTCAAGGTTGGTTAAGGATGGACCTTTAAGTTCATTAAAAGTGGAGGCACTACCAAACTTGTGAATCTTGTTTAGAAGGAAAAATGACAAAACGAATTTCCCCTCAAAAGGAATCGAGCAAGTGATAAATTAGAGTTAATTCATTCTTATTTGTGTGGTCCAATGAATATCCAAGCAAGAGGTGGTTTTGAGTATTTTATGACTTTCACAGATGATTACTCAAAGTATGGATATATTTATTTGTTGCGTCGAAAGTTTGAATATTTTAAAAAGTTCAAAGAATTTAAGACAGAGACTGAAAAGTGACATAATAAATACATCAAGACACTACGATCTGATCGTGGTTGGGAGTACCTCTCTGCGGAATTCATTAGTTATTTATCATAATGTGGAATTACCTCTCAATTATCTGCACCTGGAACTCCACAAAAAAAATGGTGTAGCTGAAAGAAGAAATAGGACTCTTATGAAAATGGTTAGATCAATGATGAGTTATTCCAGTTTGCCTTCGTCCTTTTGGGGACATGCCTTAGAAACAACAAATTACGTTATGAATTTAGTTCCTTTAAAGTCAGTACCTTTGACCCCTACAGAATTGTGGACTGGGAGAAAGCCTAGTCTGCGGCATATTCGAGTTTGGGATTGTCCAGTACATGTGATAAAAGGGAAAACGGATAAATTGGAGGCTAGAACGGATGTATGTGTGTTTGTGGGTTATCCAAAAGGGACAAAAGGTGATTTATTCTATTGTCCTAAAGAAAAGAAGGTAATTGTTAGCACAAATGCCAAGTTTCTTGATGAGGACTATTTGATGAACCATGTTCCTAGAAGTAAACTTGTTTTACAAAAACTTAGCAAAGGAATGGAAACTCAGTCATCTGAAAAACAAAACGACCAGATGCAAACCCCGAAAGTCGATTTTGACATACTATTGCATTTTAGTAGTGGGAAAAATGTCAATAGACTTGATGTTTTGTAAGAACAAGTGCCCGAAGTCATACTACCACAAAGTAGTGGGAGTTATGTTGAGCGGACTGCACAATAGGAAGAAGTCGTTGATATCCCTATGGATAACATGGAGACTCAGGTTCCTGATAACGATGTGGTTCAACCATAAGATCATAATGGTGTAGTTGCAACTGATGTAGTGCGTAGTCGTAGTGGGAGAGAAATAAGACAGCCAGTTCGTTATACACTCTAGGGAGAATCATATGATAGGATCCCTGAGGAGCATGCCAATTACAACCAAGCACTACATGATAAAGATGCTGATAAGTGGGTTGCTGCCCTGAAATCAGAGATGGGGCCTATGTACTCTAATCAAGTTTGGGATCTTGTAGAACCACCTGATGGGGTTAAACCCATTGGATGCAAGTGGATCTATAAGAAAAAGAGAGGTGTAGACGGAAAAGTGCAAACTTTTAATGCAAGGCTTATAGCGAAAAGATTTACTCAGGAAGAAGGCATCGATTATGAGGAAACCTTCTCACTGGTAGCCATGCTTAAGTCTATTAGGATTCTCTTATCCATTGTTGCTCATAATGATTATGAGATGTGGCAAATGGATGTCAAGACAACTTTCCTTAATAGAAGTCTTGATGAGTGCATCTATATGATGCAACCAGATGGTTTCGTGAAAAGTGGCAAGGAACAGTTGTTGTGTAAGCTTAAAAGGTCCATTTATGGACCGAAACAGGTATCTAAGGCATGGAACACTTGTTTTGACAAGGCAATTAAAACTTTTGGTTTTGATCAGTGTCTTAACGAGTCTTGTGTATACAAAAAGTGGGATGGGGACAAAGTGGCATTTTTAATCTTATATGTAGATCACATATTGCTCATAGGAAATAATGTGGGCATGTTGGGTTAAGTTAAACAGTGGTTTTACACGCACTTCGATATGAAAAATTTGGGAGAAACGGCTCATATCCTTGGGATCAAGATCTTGCGAGATCGCAAGAAAAGGATATTAGGCTTATCCCAGGCTCTTTATATTGATACAATATCCTCCAGGTTTAGCATGCATGATTTCAAGAAAGGATTTCTCCCTTTCAGGCATGGAATTTATAAATCCCCATAATTTTCTAGCTTAAAATTTTTAAAACAGGTTTAATAACATAATTAAGGTGCTCGAAGGGTATAAGGACACACACAGTCTAAATAAAGTACTTAAAAATATTTAAATATGTACATAGGATTAAAATTAAAATTGAAAAAAACAAATAAGATAAGAGAAAATCTCACTTTATACCCATTAAATTCAAACTATTTACCCTTAAATACCCATACCTAAACTATTTACTACTCCTACCCATGGGGCCCAAACTATTGACCCGCCTCCTCCCCCTGAATATGGAACTTTTCAAGCACCTACCAGTTACCCACCACATCAACCTGTGATCGGTTTTCCTCAGCCAGTTCCTCCATCTGGCGTCACCGCATCATCACCTGAATATTATGCTCATGGTTATCAGGCTGTTCCAAGTTCTTCTACCACCCTCCGCTCCTATATTGTGTTCATGATTTTAATAGCTACCGCAATTAATTATTCAGATGCCGAAAAAAATCACCTGATATTCATGATTTTCGTGAATTGTTGTTGCGTTTTTCAGTGATTATGGGTGGGTTGACTTTATTGTACAAAAATTCAAATCCACCATTGAAGGACCTTGAAGCTTGAAACTCATAACTTGGTTTGTTTGAGTTTTTAATTATTTTGATCCGATCCTATATGGGTTTGTTTGGAAAGTTGATTGGAGGTTGTATCTAAAGTTTTAGTCAATTTGGTAGAGATTTTGTAGTAGATTTTAGAAGTTTGGGTTGAAATATAGTTGAACAAGAGAAGAAGACGAATTTGTATTGTATACTCAAATAGTATACAAATATACCATTTTGATATACAATTCATTCCAACTATATACCCTATTAGTATAACTATATACTATATTGGTATCATATGCTAGTTGAATTATTTTTTGGTTGTATTAGCTGCATTTATTAGTACAATATTTGATTTTCTTTTAATAATAGTAATATAGTTCAATATCTTGAAATACTTTTATTACATTAATATGTGGTACACTATTTTTTTATTTTTCTCTTTATGCATGTGTGTTATGTAATAGTAGTATAGTCATATAGTTGCCGGGAATTAACCAGTAAAACTGTATACCATGTTGGTATAGTTATATGCCATATTGGTATCTTATGGTAGTTTGAACATTTTTTTTGGTTGTTTTGGCTGCATTTTTAAGTGAATTCTATTCTGAAATTATTTATATGAACGTGATTTGCAGTGCTGGAAATTTTTTGTGCTGATGGATATAGATTATGTGTATTATGTAATAGTTTTTATAATTATAGGCAATTGTTGGAACGACCCATACAACTATACACCCTGTTAGTATATGGAATGAGCAAGTTGCTTTGCAAATATTTAGCTTGCAATGCGAGCATGTAATTTTCACATACTTTTATTGTATCCTTTAATGTTTTGGTACAGTAGTATAGTCACAGATTGTAGCAATATTCTAGAGCAATCATATACTCTGTTGGTATACATGTATACCATATTGGTATCATGTGGTACTAGAAGTCTTTTTTGCTACTTATATTTTTATTGTATTTTCCAATATTTTATTATCATTTCTATTCTAACTAGTATATATGGAGATTTAGTGGCCGTAGATTATATTGTCTTGCTCCATCACTGGTTGGTGTTATTGTTAATGGTAGAGTATGTACTAATATTTGTAGGACAGGAGATCAAGGTTTGCATGGCAATCACGTGGAATTAAAAAAGGAACAAGAAATAAAGAAAAAAAATAAAAATAAAAAAATAAAGAAGGAGTCAAATTAGAGTGTGAAATAAGTTATGGTAAAAATAACAATAATACGATTTGGGAAAAAATAAATGAATAAAAGAGAAAAATAAAAAAAAAGGAAGAAAATGAGAAAAAAGAAAAGGATAAAAGAAAAGAAAAATGGAAAAAAAGAAAAGAAG